GATGCGGGACTCGATCCCGGGACTCCAGGATCATGACCTGAGCCGAAGGCAGTCGCTTAACCAACTGAGCCACCCAGGCACCCCAAACAACTATTTAGTTTTATAATTTATAATTAAATGTTTCCACGATTCAATAGCCAAGTTTATGAAACAAGATATAATTTTAAAACTTTAAATTCTATCCCTATTTCTCCACCCTATTTCCTCCCTTCCTCATCTCTTTGGTAATGAGTTTTTATGTTTGACCTTTTATTCTTCAATTTCCCAATAAATAAAGAAAAATATATACATGTGGACAGACAGAGAAGTAGATGCCCCCTTTTTATTTATTTTTTTAATTCTTTATTTTAAATTCAATTTAGTTAACATATAGTGTATTATTAGTTTCAGCGGTAGAATTTAGTGATTCATCAGTTGCGTACAACACCCAGTGCTCATTACATCACACGCCCTCCTTAATGCCCATCAACCAGTTACCTCATCCCTCCACCCCCTCCCCTCCAGCAACCCTCAGTTTGTTTCCTAGAGTCTAGCATCTCTTACAGTTTGCCTCCCTCTCTATTTTCATCTTATTTTATTTTTCCTTCCCTTTCCATACGTTCATCTGTTTTGTTTCTTAAATTTCACATATGAGTGAAATCGTAAGGTATTTGTCTTTCTCTGATTGACTTATTTTGCTTAGCATAATACCCTCTAGTTCCATCCATGCTCCTTTTTTAGATGCTCCCTTTTTAGATCAAAGGTGGCATACTCTACACACTTTTCTCTACCTTGGAGACTAGTCCATCAAAGTATAGAAAAACAGTTTTCCCCTTTTTTTATAGTTTATTGGACCAACAAAATGAGCACCCGGGTTGTTTCCAGTTTTTGTTGTTACAAATTCTGCTGAGGGAGTTATCTTGTGCCTCTGTCTTTCCATATTTTTACCATCCACTGAGACTTTCACCTAAGACAAAGGAAAGGAACTAGCTGAATGTTTTAAGCCCTTGAATTCAGGACATTTAATCATGTGTTTGGCCATGCAGCATATTGTCCATTTTGACAGTTAAAGACTTGGAAATAGGGATGCCTGGGTGGCTCAGTTGGTTAAGAGTCTGCCTTAGGCTCAGGTCATGATCCCTGGGTCCTGGGATCGAGTCCTGCATCAGGCTCCTTGCACAGCGGGGAGCCTGCTTCTCCCTCTGCCTGCCGCTCCCCCTGCTTGTGCTCACTCTCTCTCTCTCTGACAAATAAATGAATAAAATCTTAAAAAAAGAACAGACTTGGAAGTAATGGCGTCCCCAAAGCTGTGGTAAATATGGTATAGGAGATTCTTTAAAAAGGAAGCTGTCTGCTCTCCAGTGCAGGGAAACTAAGACAAAGGGGAACTAATAATGTGCATTGAGTACCTACTGTGAGCCACATGCCTTCTCTGTAACTTCCTAAGTAATTCTTCTTCCAGTCCTGCATGCTCATTAGTCTTCATCCCAGTGGTAGAGATGAGGAATCTGTGATGAAGTCACGAGTCCAGGTTATAGCGTTTGAATGTGGGACTGGGACTCTAAGGCACATCTGTGTCATAACTTAAAATCCACAATCCTTCAATTCATTTCTTCTTGTTGCCTAGTGATAAAGAGCTGAGACTCTGAAGTTGGACTCTGGAGTTACCTCCAGTCCTGGCTTCCCCCCTCACTAGTGTGTGACTTTGGTCAAGTCACTCAGCCCTGTTTGCTTTGACTTTCTCATCTACAAAATAAGGGTTGATAATGATACCTCCCTATCAGGGTTGTTGTGTGATGAAGGGAGTGAATGGATGTATATTGGTTAGAATAATAGCTGATGCGTAGCAAGCACCATCTAAGTGTTAGCTGGCTTTATCATTGGAATTTATTTGTGGAGTCAACAAATATTGACGGAGCATCTCCCCTGCGCTGGGCACGGTGCTCCAGGGTAAAGATATCATTGAGCAGGTGAAGGGACTCCTGACCTCACAGTGCCTACAATCTAGTAGACGACACAGTCATCCCCAGATAATCACACAATCACAAAATCATAGGTGCCTTAATGGTAGGAAGGGAAGGTACACAGCCCCGTGGAGTCTAATCACCCTCCCATCTCTGGGCATCAGGCAAAATGCCCCTCAGCATGCTTAGCTCGGGCTCTCTTTCGTTTGTGAAGGGTTCCAGAGAAGCCTCCCACCCTGCGTACTTGAGCCCATACCCTGAGATCTCACCAGTTCCTTCTCTCTCTCTCTCTCACGCATGGCAGCTGGAGTACACAGCCCGCCTTGACTTCCTTTGGCGAGTACAAGCCAAAGAGGAGATCAATGAGATGAAGGAGCTGAGGGAACACAACGAGAACATGCTCCGGAACATTCTACCCAGCCACGTGGCCCGCCACTTCCTGGAGAAAGACCGAGACAATGAGGTGAGCCCAGGCTTGTCTGGCTGTGAGGAGGGGGGGTGGGGGCGGGGGTGCAGTTGGACACACTGGTCCCGAGCTCTGGGAGAATTCCCAATGTCCTTGTGTGAGCACCCGAGAATAGAGACCGTGCTACCCCAGAGTGCCAGGCCACCCAGACTGCCTAGCTCCACCAGGTCTATGCAGGGCCTCTCCAGCGCCAGGGACCACATCTGTAAGATGGACTTCATGTGAGCTCCATCCCGAGACTAGATTGAAATTTGAGTTTTAGATACGTCTGTGCACATGTTTCTGTGTATCCATGGAGTGGATCTCCAGTGTCTCTCCCAGTGTGTGTAAGATGTTATTATTGATGTTACTTGCTGATATGCTGAAGACATTTGGGTTTGTGACCCTTGCCTGAGGGTAGAACTAGGAGAGACCCCCACCCAGGTCCATTTCCCACCCAAGCCACCACAGCAAGATCAGTGGAAGAGAAGTAAAGGCAATGAATAAGCTGCTGCTTGAATAATCTTGATGCATCAAGACCTTGGAGGTCTCCTGGCTGCACATCCAAGCACCGCCCACCCTCCTCAACAGACGGAGTTCTCTGGAATCAGCTTCAGGCCTGCTTTTCTCAAGGCCCCCTAAGGTCAGGGGCTTTGTTGCAAGAGCTTCTTGACAAATCCAAGAAAGCAGAGAGACTTGTGCATCCGCCATGACCACCAGAAGGAGCAGGTGAAACACTGGAGCCCTCAGAGGGAAAACCAGAAGAGAAATGAAAAGAAAGCTGCTTTTCAGTTAAAGCACCAAAACAATGAGGTATCTGGGACCACGGGGGAAGAGCAAGAATTTACTGGCTTTATCCTGAAAGGAAGGAAACCCCCCAGAGATGCTGAGGTCATCAGCTGTGGTCCAGGCCAAACCTCCAATGAGCAAAATAAATGACAGATTCGGCCTTAATCATAGAAGACATGTTCAATCCAATGTCTTGTCATGCTTCTTTGAGGTTTTAAATACTTAAATAGTTCAGAGTTGACCAGGCTTAACCACAAAGTTTTGACATGGCCTAGAGAATGTTCACTCTATAAATAACCATTTACGGAACACCTGCTGTGTTCTGGGCACTGGGCACTATCTCAGCTACTGAGATAAGCAATTGATGTAAATGATCTTTGGTTCTAGTTACAGTCTTAAGAGGAGAGTTCATCACCCCACATTATTGACGAGGACTCGGGGGCTCAGAGAGGGCCATGACATGCCTCCCTGTATGGAAGCAAAGCTGTGAAAAAAATCCAGCCCTGCAGATTTCTTCCCTCTGTGCTGCACTGCCCCTACCGTGCCTCTGGGGGTTTGGCAAGACTAGCGTGTGTGTGTGTGTGTGTGTGTGTGTGTGTGTGTGTGTGTGTGTCAGACAGAGTAACATGAGAAGGGGTGACAGAGGAAGAGGCAGGAATGTTGTAATCTGTGGGAACTCCCAATAACCTGTTTTGTTATTGTGAGAAGCATTCTTAGCTTCTCTTCTTGCTACAAATCTGAACTGTGATACAAACGTCTGAAAGGTTGGGGTCTGGACATTGTGAGTTTGGGGCCCAGCCTCCACGAGGCCACAACACTGCTCACGGGTAAGAATGATTATCCCCATTTCATAGAAGAAGAAAGTGAGGCTCGGAGAAGTAAGAACACAAAACTAGTGAGTAGTGAGCTTGAATTCACACCCAGGTCTGTGCAACTTCAAAGCTAAATCTTGTGTTTTGTCCCACATTGCTGTTAGGACCTGAGCGGGAGAGAAGGGACAGCAGTGATAAGCAATGACTCAAACCATCTAAACACAGGGCGGTGGACAGAGTTTTGCCCCCTGGGACATCCTGTCCAGTTGGTTCCAGCTGTGTCACCCCACATATGTTCTGGAAGCTTCTGCTATTCCGCTGGACTTTTGACTTAGATTAGTGCTCACCACCCCAGGGCAGGTACTTTCTCACAGATGAGGCTCCCTGAGCTGGGTCATCAGTGTCAAGCTATTGCTGAGTCCCGGGAAACCCACTTGCTCATTGTAGCTTTTTTAAGACCTGCAGAAAGGACACTAAAGAGGGCAGGTGTCCCGGCTGCTGCAAAGTGCATACAGCACAAATTCCGTCTCTGCCCCTCGCCAGCTGTGTGACCTGGGGCAGCTTACCCAACCTCTCTGAACCCATTTTTTTCATCAGATTCATGAGGAAATAATTCCAATCTTGCTGACTTTAGTGTGAGAACTCAACTGAGTAAGAACATATGAAGTGCCCAGCTTGGTGCCAGGTGGGTTCGGTATAGAAAAGCTGTGTGGTATTCTCAAAAGCTTGATGCCCTAGATTCAATCCTGGCTCCTCTTCTCATTACCTCTGGAACTGAGCAAGGGATGAATCCCCCTGGACCTCACTTTCCTCACCTGCAAGGTAACAGTTCTTTGCAACTTGCTCCAGTTGCTACAATGTTTCCATGAATAATTATGCATAAAACATCTAAATGGTGCTTGGCCCATTTTAGGAACACACTGGGTTATTGCTATTGTTTTTGATAAGGGTGAGCCATCATTATATTTCTGGTTCCTTTGCAATCCGAGCCCCCCATCCACTGACACATTTACTCATTCACTCAGCAAGAATTTATTGAGGGAAACCATGTACCAGGTGTCATTCTAGATCCTGGGGGTCAAACAGTGAACAAAGAAGAAGAAAAGTCTTTGCCGATATGGAGCATGCGTTTTCATGAGCAGATAGATATGAACGTGAATAAATACACAGGATAGTGCCCAGTAGTGATCAGTCCTCCTTGGACAGAAGAAGCTGAGTAAGAAAACAGAGTAGGTGAAGGGGGTGGGGTTGACACCGGAGGGTCTCTCCAAGGCGGTGGTGTTCGCACAGAAACCTGAGGATGCTAATAAAGTCAACCGGCCCCAGACATTGTTTCTCCCCTGCAGAGAGGTGGCTTAACTCAGTATAAGGAACACAGGACCTGGAATCAGGCAGGCCTAGGTGCCCTGGGCCAAGAGCTGGCTAAGTCTTCATCCTGGTATCTGCGTGGAGCCGGGAATGTGCATATGCTCAAAATCCTCTACGAAGCCCAGACCAAGAGGATGATAGAACAGTAATAGCTTTTCTATATTCATCAGTCCCTCCCCAGTTTACAGTGCTCTTATGTTCTTTGAGCCCAAAATAGCAAGAAACAGATGGCATACTCAAAGCAGTGGACTGGGGAGAGTTGAACAATGGGGCTGTCTTTAAAGGTGTAGGCAGGTGGCTGGCACTTTTCCATGCCCCCCCAAACCCCTCATCTCCTTTGTGTGCAGCACAAATTCCATCTCTGTTATTAACTAGCTGTGTGACCTAGGGCAGTTTACCCAACCTTTCTGAGTACATCTCCTCATCTGATTCATAGGAAATAATACAGACCTTGCTGAGTCAATGTGGGAATTAAATCAGGTGAGAACACATGAAGTGCCCAACACAGCCCAGTGCAAGGTGGGTTCGGTATAGATAGGCCACCTGGTGCACCTGAAAGCCCACTGCCCTGGGTTTGATTCCTTAGGGCCACTTTCTTCACCAGATAGCGTCTGACAGAGAGGACTGAGCCTCCTCCCACCCCAGTCCCACCCCTCCAACCCCTAATAGGATGCAGCAGAGTCAAGATCTGAACTCAGGTCATAGGTCTTGAAGTTTATGCACTGGGAACCCCAACACCACAGGTCCAATCAACCATCCATTGAGAAGGACTTACGGATCCAGTTTCCAGTCCCAGTGACATTTATTCCCAGGCATTATCCTGATTATTATTGTGGTTCCTGGGGTGGTGGTTGCAGTCATGGTGTTTGCTTATTAGCATTAGTAGCAGCCCCAGTGCCATGGGCTCTGGAGTCAGACTGCCTGGGCGGGCATGAAGTCCGGCTCTGTCTCTTGGGTGAATTACTTAATGGCTACGTGCCTCAGTTTCCCCACAAGTACACCAGGATCTTAACTGTATCTAGGTCCTGGTTTGTGAGCATTCAACACGGTGATGTGTGTGCAGACTTCTGTGTCATGCTTGTCACGCAGGAAGCGCTCCATGGATGTAGCTGACATTATTAACATTATTTGTGTTGTTTAAGCAACCGGAACATTCCGGTTGTTGGCAGAGGCTGAGAAGTAAAACTAAGAAGAGGCTGGGAGGAGCTAGGATTTGTGAGAACACTCAAGCAGATAAATGATTGATGAGAAACCCCTGGCAACCCGCCTTTATATCACAGCAGCATTTATATATCACCAGGCAGAAGTGGGAGGCAAGGTGGCCCACTGGGTCATTATGGACTGGGTTTCAGAGGGCTCTGATAGGGTTTTCTCTTTTCTCTCTGTTTTAAAACAGAAAATAGAAATAATGGGTGTTGTGGGCTGAATTGTGTCTCCCACAATTCATATGTTGAAGTCCTAACCCCCCGTACGTCTGGATACAACTGTATTTAGAGATAGGATTTTTAAAGAGGTGATTAAGTTCCAAAGAGGCCATTAGGCCAGGGCCCTAATCCACTCTGACTGTGTCCTTACAAGGGGAGATTAAGCTGTACACACACCCAGAGGGGAGACCATGTGAGGACATGGGGAGAAGACTGCATCTCCCAGTCCAGGAGAGAGCCCTCAGGGAAAAAAACCAGCCTTGCTGACCCTTGATCTTAGACTTTGTAGCATCCAGAACAGTGAGAGAATCAATTTCTATGTTTAAGCCACCCAGTCTGTGGCACTTTGTGATGGCAGCCTGAACAAACTAATATAATATGTAATAAACAGATTTTTTTTTTTCCTCCAAATCACAGCCAATTGGAGGAGTCAGATAAAACAGAGTCAGGCTCCTTCCGGGGTATCACTCCATTGCTCAAGGCCAAGGTGAATGGCCACCCCTTGAAAGCCACGTGCCATGGCTCTGCTCTTTGGCCATGATCTGCGCTCCCCACGCCCTGCCCAACCCAACCCAGGGCAGCCAGTCACCACCAGCCTGTGCTCTTTTGGACGAGGACTAGTGAAAGTACTCACTCAGATTCATCCACGCTTGAAGCTCAAGACTTACTGATCTTGAATCAGGGTCACCATCTTTCTCAGACCAAGGGCATGAAAGCCAGAGGAGACAAGCCCAAGTGTGCTGCATGGGGAGGGCCCTGGAGGTCCTCCAACCCTGGCTCGTCCACTGCTAGTGGTGTGATCCAGAACAACAGCTTAACTCCTCTCTCTCTCTCTCATTTTCCTTATCTGTAAAATGGCAATAAGAATCAGTGCCTATTTCACAGGATCACTGCAAGGATTAAATCACTGAATTCATATGAAAGCTCTTGGTAAGCTTTGATGTTTCCTGCAAAGACCAGGAAGTAATTCATTTCAATAGGTTAGAGCATTTACCTTGTACCAGATGCTATAAACAGCATGCATGATAGTGCAGGCATCCAAAAAATATGAACTGGATGATTAGAATGCACCGAGGTGAATGGCATGGGGTCTTTGCCTCGTGGAATTCACTCCAAAGGAAGAGACAGACAGTAGGTGGTGAGCAGGCAACCCGGGTGCTGCCAAGGTGCTGCGCTCAGCCTCCTGACCCCAGCTACGGTCTGGGAAGGTTCACAGCAGACATGGTATCTACGTGGCTAGTGAAGGCAGAAAACAAGGTTAGCCTGGTTAGGGAGGCTAACTTTAAGAAGGAAGGACATGTCCCGTCAAGGGACAGACAGTAGGAATCAAAGCATGCAAGTGTGAGAAGTGTGTGTGTGTGTGTCTTTGTTTGGCTCTTCCAGAAGCAGACCTTGAGACAAGGATTTGGTTGAAAGTCATTCGCTTGGAGGTGCTTCCGGGAAGCCCAGGCAGGCTGGAGAGTGGGAAGGGAGGGAAGGGCTAAATGAGGCATTATCAGACTAGTTACCTCTGTGGGGCACTGGAGCTCTATCCCACTGGGAATTCGGGGACATACTGATAGCATACCTCACAGCAACCTGGCCCAAGGGGTGAAGGAGCTGAGGACTATAAGGCCATTGCCATCAGTCACTGGTTGAGAGCAGCACCCCAGGGACATTAATTTCCTGGAGCAGTGAGCCAGCTGCTCACGGGGCAGAGTGCCCTCTAGTGGTCAGAGAAAAGCTCCATGCAAAGCAACGCAAGGGCCCACAGCTGGACTTCTGGGAGAGAGGCGGTCAGTCAGGACACCTGCAGCATCTGCTACCGTCCTTACACAGGAGTACAATGTTTCTGGAACATGAGGTCCGATGCAGGGAATCGCAGGCAATGAGGCTGAAGAGAAAGGTGGAGGCAAGGGCATGCATATATGAATATATGGCATGCTGCTGTGTTTGAGCTTTATCCTGAGGGCAGTTGTGGGCCACTGCAGGTTTGAAGAATGGGAGAGGCATGGTCAATATTCTGTCTTTAAAAGATCACTGCGGCCACCATGGGGAACATGCCTCGGGATGGGACAAAACAAGTCATGGAACCCAGTGTGGGGAGGAAAATGGGTAGCCCTGATAAATAGCAACGGCAGAGGGGGCAGAAAAAAATACTTGAGACAAAAAGAAAGCCAGCAGAACTTGGCAGTTTATTGAATCCAAACATGATGGGGAAGAAGGCTGACGTCAAGGCATCTCTGAGCATCTCTAACTTTGATGACTCAGCGACACTGGTGCCCCCCACTGAGAGCATGAGGGGGGCAGGTTTAGGTGGAGAGAAGATGCACTTGGGTGTGGCTTGAAGAGTATGAGGACAACCCAGCTTGGGACCCAGCGGCTGAGAGCCTAAGAACGGGAGCCGACTCGAAGACAGGAGTTCAGAAGATGTCCCACCTGAATGTTGGTGAAAGGTGGAGAGTAAACGAGATGGCCCCGGTAAGTGTGTGAACTTTGAACCTGGCCGTGGGTCAAGGACAGAACCACAGCCATCACCAACATTTCAGATGGAAGGTAAGCCCCAAAAAGGCATCTCTGAAGGAGCCAGGCATAAGGAACGCAAATGCAGCATCACTGAAACAAGGAAAGTCAAGAGACTCGTGGCCTTGGGAGGGTGACCCCACCGACCCGCATAGGTGTCCCGGAAGACATGAGCCAATACCCATGCCACGGAGTGATTTTTTTCTTTCCGCTTTGGCCGGCAGTCTGACCTGCTCCAGAGTCACTTCATCTCGGCCTGACATGTGAATGAACACTGCCAGGGTGGGGACAGGCCATGGAGGGAACTCATTTGGGAAGTGTGTGCAAAGAGGAAGAGAGACGGGTGGATGGTCACAAGTGTGTTCAGGTTCCAGGGGGTGTCATACTATTCCATGTAGGGCACATTTGGAGGGGGAAGAGGGGAGGGAGAGGAGGAGGAAAAGGGGGAGGAGAGAAGGAACAAAGAAAAGGATCACCGCAGGAGGAAGCTGCTGAAGAAGTTAGAAGCAGGAGTTGTCAAGACATCTGGTAGAAATGTTGACCTTCAGCAGAAGGAAAATGCATTGTCTGCAGTTGAAGCAAAGGGGATGAAAATAAATATGAACGTAGACACAAGTATGAGTATTGGAACAGTGCTGGGTCACTGCCAAGAGGCTCAGTTTTTGCCACAGCCTTAAGAGACGAGATCATTTCTTGAGAGGAATCGAGTGGGGGGTGAAGTTAGGGACAGTGGTGAGGGTTTGGACTCGCTGCTAGGACGACAGAGAAGGAAGGTGACCAAGGTCAAAGGGTGTGCAGTCCGAACTCGGGGCCCAGCCGAGGCTGGAGACCATGAATTGTCAACGGCCCCAGTGCACATGGCTACCGTGTTGACATGCCAGTGTCAGGGCCCCATTCTCTGTGCTCTCCGTGGGCATCTGTGCATGGGAGTAGGTGCACGTGCTCATGGGGGAGCATCACTGCAGAACCTCACCTCTGATGACCAGTTGTGGCTCCCCGTGTCTGCCCCTGCAGGAGCTGTACTCTCAATCCTATGATGCCGTCGGAGTGATGTTCGCCTCCATCCCGGGGTTTGCAGACTTTTACTCGCAGACTGAAATGAATAACCAAGGAGTGGAATGCCTGCGCCTGCTGAATGAGATCATTGCTGACTTCGATGAGGTAAATCAAAGCCTCAGAAACCTACAGGCCCCGGTGGGCATCACTGTTGTCCTAGCATCACATTCGCCGTGGCAGTAGCCACGGTTGGTACTCACAGAACCCCAGGCTGCAGTATGAACACAAACATGTATCAGCTAATTTAAGTACCACGTGAGATAAACGCCATTGTGTTTCCATCTGGGAGATCGAGATCAGAAGCGTCAGTGAGGCTGGGTAGTCTGACCCAATGGCAAACAACCATCAAATGGCAAAACCAGGACTTGATTGGAGGCCACTGCTCTGCAGGCGTTGGCATCTCAGAGACTGGGCACTGATGGGGACGTTTCTCCATCTGCTCAAAGTGCCAGAGATAAAACCATCAATTCGCATTTGGTCAAAGACCTAAACACAAGTATACAGGTGCTCCAGATAATGTTTTCTCCTTTTAGGCTCCGTAAGTGTAAAGAACACGTGACATGGGGGGATATACTCATATGGCACTGTATTTACATTAATAGATTTGGCAGGAAAGAACCTCCCCCACCCCAATCTTCTAGCTTCAAGTAAGGCACCATTGTCTATCCATTTGCCAAGGCCTGAGAAGGGAAGCGATTCATCGAGAAAATGTTAGGGAAGAGGCCATGTAAAGATGGGGGTTCAGCTGAGGTCTAGCCTCTTAGCCTGATCCCTGGGGAGCTCAGGAGCATAAGTGGTACCACAGAGTTGTTTCACGCTGAGGCAAGGGGGCCAAGCTTTTGTACAACCAAAAGCTTGGTCAACCATTGGCTGTGGGCTGCCCCTTGGTGGGGGGGTGGTTGCCTCACTTCCCAGGCATTTCCAGCATAGGGGCTCCCCGTGGCCCAAGGCAGTTCTCCAAAAAAGGGTACAGCAGTGCATTGTCAGCAGCCAGACCTCATGGCATTCTTGAGAATGGCCCCACAAAGGAGATGTACGTGGGGCACCAAGAGCATTTGCGACATCACTCAATGTCCTCTCCCTCGATCCCCAGGTTCCATTTAGCTACTGAGTCCTGTGGGTTCCTTCCTGATGGCTTTTTGGTCTGCCCTTCCTCAGCATCTTCTTGCATTCGGCCGTCTTACTTCTCCCCTGGATGGCTGCGGCATTCCCTAGCTGCCCCTTCCTGTACCTCACCTCAGCCATCACCAAAAGCACAACTATCTTTTCACAACCCCTTGAAACCTAAAGGCCATCAGTGGCTCCCAACTCCTTGTAAGGTCACCTGAGGCTTTGCACTTGCTGTCCGGTACCCTCTCTGGTCTTACCTCCCACTGAGTGCCACCCGGCCCCCCACCCACCATCCAGCAGCTTATAAGCCTTTACGCCCACCAGGCTATTCCACATTCTGCTCTTTCTGCCCCAAAATTATACCATCCTCACTATACCTTGTCCTGTCTCCCTCAACTCCATGGCCAACAGAAAACCTAATACTAAACAATCCATTCAATATCATCTCCATGGAACACTACATCAAAAACTAATGATGTACTGGGGCACCTGGGTGGCTCAGTCATTAAGCCTTCGGCTCAGGTCATGATCCCACAGTCCTGGCATTGAGCCCCGCATCAGGCTCCCTGCTCCACGGGAAGCCTGCTTCTCCCTCTGCCACTCCCCCTGCTTGTGTTCCCTCTCTCACTGTGTCTCTCTCTGTCAAATAAATAAGTAAAATCTTAAAAAA